TATAAAGACTGTTAATTTGGATTTCTGATAAAGCAAAGTAATATTGAAGCCAGGAGTGAATATGCAATGTTAATCTAAGCTTACATTTTCTCATCGTCTCTCTCTCATCTCTCTCTATGAGCAATGGAACTCTTTACATGCTGTTTGCATGGTGGGAGGTGTTGAGGTCATTCCCCGTTAGGAGAATGAGCTTACACATGGAGACGTAGTGAGAATGGTGAAGAATAACACACAACCAGCACACAGATACACTGTATAGTAAAATGTAGGTATTTACTTCCAGTAAACGGTTAAGCAAAGTCCAACAAACAGTCCAAGTCATACATGGTTATAGCAGTCAGTTTTCATTCCAGGGATAATCCAATAACAAAGTCCAGTATCAAAAACAGTTCAGTAATCAGACTCACATCAAATCCAAGAATAACGACGATCAGCAACAGTCAATAGGGAAATGCAAACCAACCAACATCGAACATCAGAACGTCTAGCAACAACAGAACAGAACTAACAACCCAGGTTTCTGGCTCCATCTTATGACCGTTCGAGGAACTACACCCAATTACAATTTTAGCATTCCCTTAAAGAGACAGTATTAAAATGTCTATCCTGGTTTATATATTTCCAATCCAACTGTTAGGTGACTTACATTCCTAACAGGAGGGGTTGGAATTCCCCCACATGCTACAAACAAAGAGAACTTTCTAACTCACCCACCCCCCTTCTCTGCTCAACTTGTCTTCCTGCTATTTCAAAGACTCATTTTACATAACAAGAGGGAAGGCAAACTTCCCATCTTTCAGGGGACAGACAAGCAGCTTCCTTTATTTCATCTCTCCCTGAACTAACTCAAAGAAAACCAATTTAGCAAACTAGTTTGTGTCCTGGAGTAAAGACAAAGGATGTGTTTTTCTCTATCCAGCATTTGCCACGAGGTGTCCAGCCATTTATAACTAAGGCTGTAAAACCTTCTCTGGCCGGTTTTATTGGGGCTATAAATCAAAGCTCCAGCAAGTAAGCTATGTGAACAAAGAACAATTTCCTTTTCCTCATGAAGCATAGAGTTTGGCCATCTTATTTCTATGCTAGAAAAATTTAAGTATAACAAGACACATTGCATATAACCCTCTGAACTGTTTTACTTGTTAGATAAATTCCATCGAGTTAGGAATAAATACCTTTCGGACCCAACCACCCCTCTCCTTAAGGGCAACATCACATCTTGGTAAAGCAGCCTACATCCCCATCTGGTGGTAAAGAAGAAATTTACAGTTAAGTCAAATAATTCTTACCATTCTTTTTTTTCCTTTTTTTTCTCAAGAGTGGGCAAGGAAGTCCACCCCCTTTTTTTTTCTTCAGCCCACTGCTACATCTGGGGCTCAAAGAAAAATCTCCCTGAGTTTTCCACTACGTGTTTGCATTGATAATCCCTTTTTTGGAAACTATTGTGGACAATTTAATCAATTTAATTCAAATGTTCCAAGATTAACTGCAACCCAACAGACCTAAGCAAAGCAGCCCACAGCTACATCTGGGGCTCAAACAGAAATTTCCCAGAGTTTGATTTTTTTTACACAGTTTCTCAAATTTGACCAGAGTGTTTATCCAATGATAATCCCTTTTTGCAACTGTTGTGGACCATTTAATCAACTTAATTCAAGGGTCCCAAGAGTGCAACCTAACATGGGTGTAGCAACAGCTTCTTCCTGACCCTCTGCTGCCACCTTGTGAAGCAAGTGACAATTATAGGCATATTTCTGCGTTCCGCCCTCAAGTCTTCAGACTACACTACGCATATTTCTGCGTTCAGCCCTCTAGTCTTCGGACTTTGCGACACAACCTCTAGTGCCCCCTAGTGTTGCAAGCTCACAATGCACCCTAGAAGCAGCCATACTGTGTGCTGTGCTAGCATCGCCCAGACTCTGCAGTGCCACCTATGTGCTCAAGTATTAAATCCAGCAGCAATTCTACTTTCTGCTACCTGCTTGCAGCGCCCCCAGTACAAAAAAAGGGAATTACACAGAAAACCACTAAAATTTTCCAAAGTTCTCCCTTTGACAATTTGAAGCATGGCAACTTCCTCAGCCATGACAGATGTCTCTGATGTACCAGAAGAACCGATTCCTCCACCCACCCTTGTTGTAAACATGGAGCCTGATTCCCGAAACCAGTTTTAGATGTCCAACCCTTTGGAGAAGCCGCGATACCTCAGAAGGCCTACAGCATAGGAAGACAGCATAGGAAGCTTACCTCACCCATGGTGAAATGCTTCAGAGAGGATTGGGAAAGGTAGTATCACCATCATGCAGATGCATGGACAGAGCTGGTCAAGATCTGTGACACCCCCAAAAGCAAGTTGCCCCTCGAGAGTCTCTTCCTGATGCAGAAGGAGTTTAGAGGAGCACCTCGCATGGTGGAGAGATCAGTGAAAATAAGCTTAAATACATACAGTCGAACCTGGAAGACCCAGAGTTCCAGGAACACATTCATTCCTTTGAGGAGGCGAACAAAGAACGTGAAGACAGTGTTCGGGAAGGCAGAAACTCCCTCCAGACTGTGCTCCTCATTGCGCTACAGAAGGAGCAAATACCGAGGGAGAAGATCACATCCAACAGAGATCTTCAATCACAAGCAGCTTCTTTCCACCACTCAAAGAAAGCCTCCTCCCTCCATCCCAAACCAGCTAGATCGCAAGCAGCTTCCAGTGTTTCTCACCATCCTTCCAGAATATCCTCCTGTCATTGCGGTGCATCTAAGGCCTCCAGAGCAGCAAGTTATGCTGAATGAGCTGTAGAAGCCCAAGTTGAAGCTGCAGCAGCAGAGGCAGATTTACGTATTACGACAGAGGTGATATGGCAGAAAGTTGAAATGGCCAAACAACAAGCAGAAATGGCCAAACAACAGGCAGAAATGGCCAAAGCTCAGGCCAATCAACAAGCAGCAAAAGCCAAAGCTCAGGCCCAAGTGGACTTACTTGAATGACAAAGAGAGATGGCAGCGAAAAAAGCAAGGGCCGCAGCATAGCAGAAGGTGGCCAACACTGCCTCCCTCAACTTCTACCTCGAAGATTTGGGAGAAGAGAGCCCAGATACACGGGTCAAGGCCTATGTGGATGAGCAGCACTCGCTTCGAAATGAGCAGATTAAACCACCTCAGTTGCCTAATAGTCTCCCACAACCAGGGAAGCACAGAGATGAATCTCAACCACAGACTCTACACATCAGTTACGCAACTGATGTTGTATGACCTAAAGTATGAGATTCACTTCCCACCAACAGCAAACCTTCCCCAATTGATGTTTTATGTACTAAGGTCTGAGATTCTCTTCCCAACACCAGCAACCCTACTGCAATGTCTCACGCCCTGCTGGCTGAGCAACGTAGCCCACCAGTGCCTACGACTTCTCCATGTGTCAACATGCCATCAGCAACAACTGCCACACTCAATCCACAGGCAGCAGCATTCCTGCCACAACCTCAATACCAATCTGGCTCCCAGGCACCACAAGGTAGCCGTGCCCAACCTACACATCAGCGTGACGCTCGACCATCGTCCCCAGTATGGGAGAACAACATCCTCCATAAGTACTGGGATGAAGACTACAACCTGTCATTGACTTACAACCCGAACCCACCCTGCGAGAATCCAGGGGGAGAACCCTCTATGTCAATACCTCCCCCCAACTCAGCAAATGCTGAAGATTACTGGAGAAACTTGGCTGTACAGAGTGGAAAGATAAATTTGCACGCCAACGGAGTTCACAGATTCTCTGACAAGCCAGGTGGTGAGTATCTAGTATGGAAGAAACTTTTCCTGCACCCTGTTCAGGCGGCACCCTGATGAAATAATCGGACACTTGATAGCATGGCCAGGGCCACAGTCTGCCGACATACCGAGGGCACTTTATGCATCCCACTTGGGGATCTGGCCACTGCCCTACGGTTATCATGGAAAAGGCTTGACGAACTGTATGGCACTTCTGAAGACGTAAAAGCAACACTCTTGGATAGCCTCAACAATTTTCCTAAAATTTGTATCGACAAGCCACACTGAATCATAGGCCTCGCTAACATACTTGTCCAGCTGAGAATGGCACAACGAGATCCCAACTTACCGGCACTCGCCTGTCTCGATCATGTCGACACACAGAACAAAATTGTTCGAAAACTTCCGCAGGTGCTAATTGAAAAGTGGCTCCAGTTGTCTGACACCTTCATGGCCAAGGGTTGCCACTGCTTTATACCCTTCACACTTCTTGAAGAATTTGTGTCCCACCAGGCGACAGTGTGCAACACACACCAGGCCCATGGACTCAGAGCTGTTAGCCCTTCTAATGATAGAATATACAACTGCGACCATATATCGCCCTCAGGCCCTGTGCACACTACCAGGGAAAGACCCTTCATGGTTGTCCATAAAACAGAGATTGACTCCTCCTCCACACACAGTTGGGGAGAGACTTCATCCCATCCACCCCAAGTTAGATCTCTGAACAAAAGGAGAATACAGTTTTGTCCTATGCACCACACTCATCACTCGCTGAACAGCTGCACTGGGTTTGCAGCGAAATCACTGTCCCAACGAAAATAATTGCTAAGGGAGTACCAGTACTGCTACAAGTGTTGCGAATCCAAACACCCACCCAAGTACTGCACAGCCAAGGTGCAATGCAACTTATGTCATAGTGACCAACACCTGACTGCACTGCATCCAGACTCTGAGCCACCACCACAGATACCTCGTAACCCTCCTTCGGACAAGGAGCCTCAACATAACATAGAAGCATGCAGGGGTCCTCGGCAGACTGCCAAACCTCAACTAAAACCAAGGATGAGTTTCAATTGCACAGCACTGCACTCTGACTCACTTAGCCAAAGTGTACCCTGAAGGATGCCCTGAAGATGCTGTGAAAATGTACGTGTGGATAGACACTCAAAGCACCTGCACTCTGGCCAGACCTGCATTCTTCGACCTCTTTGAGGTGCAAAAGAATGAACTTCACTTCACTGTATCAATGTGCCATGGACCAAGAAGCATGGCAGGGAGGAGAGCTACTGGACTCTGCATAGAGTCATTGGATGGAAGTTCCCGGTTCCCACTACTGCCCGTATTTGAATGCAATGGGATACCGAACGACCGCAGTCAGATCGCAACACCTGAGGTCTCATGGCTCATTACTTTCCCGCTCTAGATCCAGAGGCTGAGATCCTACTCTTGTTGGGAAATAATGCCCCACGTGCCTTTCTCTTCTCTGAGTCAGTCGGTGGCCCTGTAGACACCCCAGGGGCCATCAAATCTCCACTAGGTTGGGGGATCATAGGAATTGTCAGTGTCGATCGGATGCAGGCTCCAACCCAGGCAAATGCCTTAGCACCATCCATTCCAACAGCCTTCCGATGCCCTTTACCACCATCGAAAACAAGAATGCCGTTTCAGACTAAAAGGCTGCCGGCGATCAATACACTGTCGCTAGGACACCCTAAACGGCTGCCAACAACCACCAGACATCCACTAAGACACTCTACATGGGCATATGCCTACACAACACCCTTTCCAACAGCTTCCCGATGCCCTTTGACTCAATGGGTTGGGGAGTTTCCCTCACTTTTGCCTGAACTCCCTAACTCATGGGAGCTGCTTTCTATCGCTACGAGATGGGTTAGGAGATAACTATCTTTTACTACAAAGCAGATATACAAAGGATTGGTCATTAAAGAAGAACTTCATCACAAATGTGAGTTATGAGGATACCTGATGAACCAATAAATGTACTTTGTTATGGACGTCTTGTTGAGTTATCTATCTGCTTCTGTACAGCTTATAAATCCACCTCTGTACAGGATACAGAAAAAAATCTGTCATTTTTAAATTTCTTTTGATTGATTGAAACTGGGATAATACAACTTTTTCAGGGATGCCATCTTAACTTTAGGGCCAGATCAAACCAGATTAATATTAAGGAAAAGGATTTTAGATATAGAAGGCCAAACAGAGATCACTGCTTTTTCTCACAATATAATAACCAAATTCTAGTGCCTAAACCAGTTTCACATTTACGTCATATCGCAATCCTCAAATTCAGTAGAGCCTCATCTGTGGTGGATTTAATATTCTTCCCATAGCTGTGTTGGAAAGGAAATATAGGGAACCTCATATGAAACTTAATGCTGCCCCTTTGCCGTGAGTGCCATAGAAACTACAGCTCATGTCTTTCTGTGTTGTCATTTCTACAGGGATGTCTGCCAACAGTTAATTGCCCTTTTAAAGATTTTTATGGCACTCGGGTAATTTTTACTTGCATTATTTGTTAGGCAATGAGGACAACTCAATTCCTCTAAAAATAGCAAACATTTGCTACATTATGTGTTAGCTTCTCTCAAAAATACTTGCCAATAGTTTTGATGTTAAGGGTTAATTTTGGAGCGTTTTTTGGTCAATGACAAAAATAAGGTTTCTGTCTGTTCTAATTAAAATTTATTTAATTAATTTATTTAATTCATTCATTAATTTATTTTTGTCGTTGCAAATGTAGCACATGAAAGCTAGGCTTTCACTCCCAAGTAGTGACAAACCATGGGCAGAAAGTTGAAACTTGGTTCCTCTGTTAGATTTTTTATTTAAGTTGGACCTCTTCACGTCTAAGTATTAACCACCCTAAAAGTTCAGGATAGATGCCATTCCTTGATATTGTTTTTAATAATGAAAATTCATGAAGAAATGGAAATATAGGGAGAATCTGATATGACCTTCTAAAAATAACTTGAGTTTTAGATATATCAGAGAAAATTTAGTGGTCCTGGACTTTCATCAGTTATAAATCTGTTCATATCTGCTATGTAATTGTATTAAACTTGGATGAATGTCAATAAACTCCATCCCATATTCACCAAGAGCCAGACATTTCTGAACACAATTAATATTAAAGATAGTTGAAGCATGGCTGGAGCAACCAAAGCACAGAATCCTAAAGGCAGCAGTCCTTATACCATCCAGCATATACTTGGTGCAGAGAGAGAGAGAGAGAGAGAGAGAATAATATTGTTTTATCAGGTCGTCATAGCTCCTGATATTATTGGCTCAGAAAAGTGACTAGTCCATTGGACTAAAATTTACATTTAATTATAGCTTGAAAGAAAACTTTTCTGAAATGATGCATCATTGGTACTAGCTAAATTGTACAGAGGGATTTCTAATAAGTGCTGGAAATGTAGTCAACATCCAGGTTCATTTAATCATATGTGGTAGTCTTGCAAATATGTGAAACATACTGGATAAACATAACAAAGAAAGTGCAGAAAATATTTAAGATACAAATATTTATGAAACCTGAAGCGTTTCTTTTAGGTATGATGGACAAGCCAATTGAAAAACAATTTGAGGTGTTATTCCTTCACATGGTGATGGCTGCAAGGATTGTACTTGCAAAACTTTGGAAAGAAGAAGGAATTCCAGCTGTTGAAGAATAGATTTTGAAATTGACTGTTGAAGAATAGATTTTGAAATTAGTGGAGATGGCAAAATTAACTGCTTTGGTTAGAGATAATGGACTAAACAGCTTTATAAGAGACTAGAAACGGTGGATTTTCCATGTGCTAAATACAACTGATGGTTAACAGAGGAATATAATGTTTAGCTTAACCTGTTGACTGCTCTCTCTCTCTCTCTCTCTCTCTCTCTCTCTCTCTCTCTCACACACACACACACACACACACACACACACACTACACAAATGCATGTACACACATACATGCACACACAAGTGCACAAACATGCACACACACACACACGTGAATGTATGTGTGTGTAAAAGGGGCGGCAAACCTACAGCTTTTTCTTTTTTTCTCAACACCCATTGGATCCTACATTTATCAATTTTCCTCATTTTTTGCACACTATTTTTTTCTTTTTTGTTGTTTCTAGTGTTCAATGTTTGCTTTTGTTTTGTTCATTTTTCTGTTTTATATTTTACTTTTTATGATAAAACAATAAATAATATTAAAACAAGAAAACTGATTAGCAATTTCTGTCCCCTCTCTTTTAGAATAAAATTGCAATGTAAAAAAACTTGAAAATCACCTTTAAAGAACATATTTACCTTTCGCGACATGTAATGTAGAGCAGAATACAATGAGCCAGCTCATGTGACTAAATCCTAGAATGGTTTCCATTTTATTTTCTGTGTATACAGGAAAGAATTCTAGAATGGAAGAAATTAGCTGTTTATTTGTAAAAAGTTTCCAAGTCTATACATTGTTTAATTACTTTGTTAAATATTGCATAAAACATGCAATGTTTTAATCAGTCAAAATGAAGATTTCTATGATAGACAACAGGTACTTTTCAAGGCATTAGATAATTATACCAGCAGCTCAAAAAATATATGACCCCACTATTTTATAATGTGACAAAATGTGATATAATTACTTCCAAATGATTTTTTTTTCAACAAAGAACAAAATAAAGCTTTGATAATAGCTGATTTGAAGAAATTCTACTTTTGATTTCTGGACTTTTAATGTTGCATGTCTTTAAAAAAAATGGGGAGAAAGAAGGAATTGGAAAAGGTTAGCAAGAGATTGAATTCAGCAATAGAAGCTGACCTGCAAAAATTTTGTGTTTACTTATAAAGCTTCCAGTTTGGTTAAAAGTCTGTTGTCCTATTTAGTTTGTCTCTTTACTTTCAGTTCTTTTTTTTATACTTTCTGAATCATCTAGTTTTAAAATCTGCTGTCTTCTTTCTCCATATCAGTTAAATGAGATTTATTAGCAGCTAAATAAAGCTAGGGGGAACCTTCAAACAGTTGACATTTAGTTACCATCTACATTTCTAAAAGTACAATTCCCTAATCACTGTAGGATAGTCAGATAAATGTTATCCTGATATATTTTCTGAGACAAAAGCCCAAATTAAAGAAATTCTGTTAGAACTTTTTATATCCCTACCTCACATTTCCATAAGAAAAAAGGGTATCCTTAGCTACATAATTCTTCAAATAGGTATGGTGTCTTACAATAATATCCAGTACATATTTGAATCAGTCTCAAGGACTGAATACATCTCTACATTCACTATGAGCTATTCAGAAGTATATGATTATAGGATTGCAAAATTAAAACATAGTTTGTTCAAAGAGTTTACTTCCAAGCAAAAATGCATGGGATTTTACGTGAGCAGTGACAGCAAAGGGTATCTTAATAGAATACATACTTCAAACCCCTTGCATTACCAAAAATGTTTTGGTATGCATATAGTATAAATGTATTCTTAAATAACACAACTGCAGAAAATTCAGGAACTCTTTAGTGTCATTCCATTTCTTAATTCTGATGAATATAGCAAATAATTATAATATGTCTAATAAGAAATGGAAAAACGTTCTACTTACCATCTAATATTCGAAAATAACTATACTAAGGCAACAGTCAAACAATACACATAATTTACTGTTATGGTTTATTTTAAATAAAGTACATATAAATAATAAAGTATAGATCCAGTCACATATATGCAGTCATGGAGAAGGTAACATTTATAACATCATAGCCTTTGAAGTAAAGAGGAAAGATAGGGGAGTCTGTTTAAGGGAGAACAGTTTTTCATCGGATGGATAAAATAATATCAGGGACATTTAAGACTGACAGAAAGATAGAAGTATATGTATATTATATTGGGAGACATTTTAGGAGGTTTAGAAATCCCAGATTACTTTAGATGATAAGGGAATGAGAACTACAGTTGGTTGAGGTACGATAGCTGTCAATTACCATGCTAACAAAAAGGCAAGAAAGTCTACTTGGTAAAGCTTTTGACCATGGAGACAGTCTAACCATTAGGCTTACAGTTAAGCAATTGTTTTGGTGAAAACTTACCTGTGATATGTACTTATCTGTTGTCATCTAATTATCTTTCGGATGGAGAGTTTTACTTACCTTATTATCTTATCAGGCCTCAAGGAAAACGTTGTTTCAGGGAAATTGTAAGAACACAGTTGTAGAGAGTACAGATTCTTGTTCTCAGAATCAATCTTACATCAGTAAGTTCCTGTTTAGAAAAAAGGGGAAGTTAATTAAAGTTAGGGTTGAATTCTTTTGTTTGTTTTTTGTGGGATATGGAAATGTATATATAAATGATCCAAGAGTGAGGAATACACATACCACACATTGGGTGGAATATGTATATTATATGTATATGTATGTACAGTATATACAGTATATATTTTTCCTTAGGTGTATAAATAAATTGAAGCCTATTTTCATTTCAAATTTTGATCACAATTATATGCATACATTATGTATATGTGGATGTATACATAGATGATCCAAGACTGAGGAAGACATGTACCACCCATAGTATATCTTTTTTCTTAGGTGCATGTAACTATTAAAAATTGCCTGGATCCTTTCATAGGCCATTGTATTTATTCATAGTACATCAAATAGTAATTTATTGATGTCCTTCAGGACTGCACTGAAACAATGGGCTTCTTAATTAGCAATATGGCAACCTACTCCTTCTGGAGTAGCAGAACCATACTGATGTAGCTGATTTAGACTTGCCATTCTCTTATATTTAGTTCATAAGCAAGAAAAGAACGCTCTAATGACAAAATGTAGTGGTCACAAAAGTTTCAATGTTTTTAGTAACCCATTCGATTAAACCAAAAAATTGTACTATATTATCCACATTAAACTGACCATTACAACATTATTTACTTTTTAAAATTCTCTATCAGGGAAGGTCTCACTGTGCAAAAAGAAAACCAAAGATTCAGAATATGATAGTCAAAAAACATTTCAGGGAATTGTGATATCTATAATTGCTTCATGAAGAATACACATTTCCTCTTTTCAGAGTTCCTATTTTCACAGCACTTCAGCTAAGAAAGAAAAAGAGCATGTGCTCTGCAAAGGTCAGTTGTTAACATATAATTATGATCAAAATTTGGAATGAAAAGAGACTTCAGTTTATTAACTTTCTTTAGCCTAAAAAGGAAAAAAGAATAAAAGGAGAAGCATAATAACTACTGTATAACATATTGTTGGCAGCTCCATTTCTATTTGAAACTATTAAAGATTTATATAGCTGAATCAGATAGTTACATAGATATACGGCATAAATACTCCCTATTGAATCATGTCTACATGAATACTAATTTTGGTTTCAGGGGAATGACAAGCTTCACATCCTTATTTGGAAGTAAGTATTGTTCCACTTATTGAACAATTTGTAAAATTCACAATTCATATGCAATAGATCGTGGATTCTTAGCACATGAGATAAGACTTTACTGATTCAAGCATAACTACAATGTCCCCAATTGGGAAGAATGCTGAATACAAGAGGGAGACAGAGGGCTGACCAATCTTGATATATTGTATTATCAAGGAACTTAACTTGATATACAGCATAGACCCCAAGTTAGTAGCTTTGATATCCACCATTAGCAAGAGGATCTTGAGAACTGACATAAGAACTAACAAGCAACAGAATAAGTAGCAGAATTGTCAGAACAACTAACAAGACAAGACAAGAAACAATGGATGGAAACTAATCCAGGACAGAAGCAACCTGGAATTAAAGACAGACTTCCTAACAGTGAAAACAATTAACCAGTAGAACAGAAGTTGCCTTCAGAAGTTGTGGGTGCTCCATCACTGGAGGTTTTTTAAGAAGACACTGGACAGTCACTTATCTCAAATCAGAGGTGGTATTCATCAGGTTCTGACCAGTTCTGGAGAACCGGTAGCAGACATTTTGAGTAGTTCAGAGAGCCGGCAAATACCACCTCTGACTGGCCCCACCCTTATCTATTCTCTGCCTCCCGAGTCCCAATTGATCGGATGGGTCTTCTTTTGTTGCCCTCACAGGCGAATGGAGGTGGAAAGCAGATTAGTGGGGTGGGGAGGGAATGGGATTTTGCAGTAGCCTTCCCCCAAGAGCGGGGAGGGAATGAAGATTTTATAGTATCCTTCCCTTGACATGCCCACCAAACCACACCTATCAAGCCATGCCCATAGAACTGGTAGTAAATTTTTTTAAATCCCAGCACTGTCTCAAATGGTGCAGGGTCTTCCAGCTCTATTTTGATTGATTGATTTATTGAATCACACTGTTTTGAGAAGGAGGGGCCACTCTTGAACTTTGGGTGGGTAAATCCAGGGCAAAGAGGTTAATATGATATATATGAAATTAGACTAATTCGATATCCAACAAGATTATTTCTCATCTATTTCATACAATCATAAACTTAAAAGTTGGGGGAGCTCATGGTGCCCAACCTTCAGCCCAGTCAGGAATCTACTACCACAGTCTTTCTGACAAATGGCTTTTCAGCCTCTCTATTTTTTAAAATATAATTTTTACTGAAGAAATTTTAACTAAATAAAACAATGCAAATATCAGATAAAAAGAAACCCAAAGAAAATAAGTAAGAATATAGAATAAGAAAAAAATAGAAAAAGAAAATTGTTAGATATTTTATTTATTTATTTATTTATTTGTTTGTTTGTTTGTTTGTTTGATTTGTCAATTGCTTACAAGATAATAGCTATAAGGATAAACATAGCTATGAATACATGAAATGAATACATAAGAAAAATAAAAGAAACAATAGGACAGGGACGGTAGGCATGTTGGTGTGCTTATTCTTATGCTTATGATAGAGGGTGGAATGAAGAACAGGACATGGCAGCAGTCTTTCTAGTTCTTTAATTCAGTTCTGGAAAAGCAAGGAAGAAACCGTGCTGCAGCAGCTCCTTTTAAAGGACCTGTCTGCGGACTTCAGCCACTGACACTCATTCATTTTTCCCACTCGAAAACAGACCAATGAGCGAAGCTGACATCATCTCCTGACACATATGTAATCCAGAGGGAGAGTTGAGAGAAAGAGCAAGGGATTCAGGCAGCACAAAAGATCTGATTAGGATTGTTCTATCTGCATAAACTATTTTAAATTCTATCCCACTGTATATTGCAATGTTTTCAATAAATGTACCCTTTTATATCAATAAATGAAACCATCCAGAAAAACCAGTCCATCTCTCAGGCCACTTCCTACCAAAATTCTCCAAAGTCTTTTATATTTTCTCCCTCTAAAAATCTAGGGAAATTGACATGTTTTCCTTAATGTAACAATATAGTTTTAAGGAGATCTGTCTCTTGCTACAGTGTATTGTCCCATGCAGAATCAGAGCAGGGAATTTATCAAAATATTTTCATTTATATTGTCTATAGAATTGAAATAGCCACCAATCTGAGTCTTGCAACATCAGGCAGTTGATATTACAAAATTCATCTTAAATAATCTATGGAAGGGCTCATGTGGGAAGACAACTTCCTGGACTGCATTAACTATGAAGAGCACAGCATACAATCAATTTTGTTTTTCATGCCAAACCTGAATTTTCATTTAATCATGTGTTTTTATTTACATTTCCAACTGTATTTCTACAGTTTTCAGTTTTGTTTCCCCTTTACATATTATTTACTGCTGAAGTCCCTCTTTCTATAAGAAACAAACTTACAAAAAAGTGTATTTCTTTACCTTCTTGATTATAAACTGCTTCATTATATCATTACATTAAGTTATTGCCATTTCCCCTCCACAAAAGTGCTTCTGGGTTGTTCAATTTGGCAAAGAATAGGGAAATAGAGTGACAGATCAAGCTCAAGCTATCTCTTATCTGATCTAAAGCAGCAGTGTCCAACCTTGGCAAACTTAAGGACTTCAAATCCCAGAATCCCATGTGGTTGGGGAATTCTGGAATTTGAAATTCACAAGTCTTAAAGTTGCTGAGGTTGGGCATCCCTTATTTTAAGTCTTCCCCTCTTCTCATTGGATTTCTTCTCATGGAAGAGTTGGAAAATATCTTAGAGGCCATCTAATCCAATGTTGTCCTTGATGCCACTTCTTCTACAGCATCTTTGACAAATGACTCTGCTTGAATATGTCCAATGAAGAAGACTTCATCACTTCAAAAGGCCATCTGTTCTACTGGATGTTGGCTTATACTCTCTTCCTGATTTCTAGATCGAACCTTGCAATTTATGGGTAAGGATAGTTGCAAATCCATATAATCTTTCCTAAAAGTATTCAGTATTGTACACTTCTTGTTCTCTTACTTCTCCCAGTATCTGCCACAATAGCCCTTCTTTAACCAGTAGTTTAAAATTAATATAGCCAGCTTCATAGCCTTTTCCTAGTTTGTGGTTAAGTTCACAGGGTTTGTTTTGTTTGTTGGCTTTGACTTGTTAAAGTAATGGGATCAGTAAACATTGATTTCTGGCTTAGTGTTATATGTGAATGTAATCATGGCTTGTTCTACAAACCATAGCTTTAAAAAGCTTAGTACATGGCTGTCAAACTCAATGTCATCACTTGACGTCACATGATGTATTGCAACTTTTTTGCCTTTGCAGAGCTAGGGTGGACGTGGCCTGCACGTGATGCATCTGGCCCATGGACAGCCAGTTTGACACCCCTGGCTTAATATGATACATGAACCCAGTGTATATACTGTATGTTTTTGATCCACGTTTTTCTCATTTGATTTGATATTGGATGAAATTGGATGAAAGCTAAAAAAAAAAAAAAGTAGTTTCAGGAAATGGATAATATTAAACTGTTATTTCTATATAAAGCCATAATAAAGAGCAGTATCAAACATTATGCTTACACTTGCCACATTCACCACTGGGTGGCATAGGTACTCAGTCAATAGTGTTTTCTCTTGTCTCTTCTCCTTTTCCCCTTTCCCCTTTGCCCTCCCTTCCCTCGTCTGCTTTCTTCTGCAGCTGAGGAAGCAAAAAATGAAACTGTGGAAACAGAATAAAAGTATCAGTCATCATTAACAGTTAATAGGAACATAAAAGGTTTGAAAAGACACTCCAGTCTTAACTAGTTTAAAATATGCATCTCATTCCCATTCTGCTGGAAACATTATAGTCAATATTTCACTATAATACCTTCATTATAAGAAATTAAGATTTAATATTAACAGATT